TCCAAAGCGAAACGTTGTCCACCATGGCAGGACACATTGCACTGGCCTTCCAAGGGGATCGTTTCTTGCAGTGAGCGTAAAACCATGTCGGAACGCATGAGGACGGGATCTGAAACGGGCTTGTGGATTGCAGTTTCGTTGATGGATCTTGGGCTCACTCTGGTCCTCCCCTCTCTCCCTCTCTCTTTCTCGCAGCAGCAGCGGCAGCAGCAGCAGCAGCGGCAGCAGCACCGGATGTTCCTGCAGGTCGCCGCCCCGTGCCTGCCGCGGGCGCCCGCGGCCGGGGCCGGCGCGTGACCTGCCATTCCTGGGGGACGGGGTGGAGGGGGGAGGGCCGCCCACGCGTTAGTCCCTCCTGGTCTTGAGACCATGGAGGACCTGAGTAGTTTAGCTTTGGCACGTCCCTCAACAGGACAGTGGTCCAAAAGCAATGCAAAAATCGTCCTGGGACGATTGTTCGATCATCTTTGGACCAACTTGTTGAGTCGTTGTTCGGCTCTTCTTTATTTTTCGTCCAACCTCCGCCTGTAGGGGGGGCAGGTCCGACCCGAGAGCAGGTGGAGGGAGCGGCCCGCCCGATCCAGATAAGCTGGAGCCCAGCGCCAGAGTGAAGTAGGCGTAGCATCTCGTGCGTAGCGGTGCACTCGTGTACCCGTTGTCCGTGGCGGTGTAGGTGGTAGGCTTAAGTCGGGCCTGTCCCTCCACAGGGGGAAAATTCAAAAATAGTCAAGCAATAGTCTGGGGACGTTTTTTTTGGGGGTGCATGTTTTGACCATCCTGGGGTCTGTTTTGACTATTTTTATTTTTCCGTCCAAAAATCCCCCTGTAGGAGGACAGGGCCGACCTAAGCGTAGCGATGCACTTGTGTACCCGTTGTCCGTGGCGCTGTAGGTCGTAGACTTCTCCAGCTTCAGGCAGGCCGGTCTCGCCGCGGCTAGTGCGGCCGAAGGAGGGCCGCGCGCTACAGCCGGCGCGCAGCGCCGCCCGGCCAGCGGAGGGTGGCAGACGTCTCGTCCGCTGGGTCGACGAGGCAATCGTGACACGTAATTGCCTAGCCTGCCTTGCACTGCGTCACTGATGGCGATCGGCTTTCTGCCAGTCCGGGTCCTCCGTGGACATCGTTCTTCAGCAGGGGGCCCTCGGAGCCCCGCCCGTGGTCCTCGAGGCCCTGCCTGTGGCCCTGGTAGCTCAGCGCGTGGTTCCAGTACAGTCGGGGCCCTGAAGAAGGAACCCTTTTCGTTGGGGAGGGGCTCCGTGTTCCTTAAGTGTTTCGCAGCTTGCCTCAGGTTTTCCTTAGGTTTTCGATATGAGATCGAAGTTTTACTTATGGATAATGGGGGCCTCGTTCCTTATTTAAGGTTCCTTAGGTCAAGACCCTCACTGTCGCTCTGCTCATGGTCCTCGTAGCTCTGCTGGTGGCTGTCCTTGCTCAGCAGGTGGCGCAGCTCGTCGCCCTGGCAGCTCCGCTGGAAGCCCGCGTAGTTCTGCCTGTGGTCCGCGCAGCTCAAGGTTCAGCCCTCGCAGCCCCGGCTGAGGCCCTCGTGGCTCAGCTGGTGGGTCTCCGAAGAAGGCTTGGGGGCCTTGCAGTTCAGCTCGTCGCCCCAGTCGCTCCGCCGGAGGCTCTGGTAGGGCTTCTGCAGTCCGCGCAGCCTTGGTTGTGGCCCCCGCAGCTCGGCATGTGGCCCTGGTAGGTCTCGTGGCCGTGCTCGTGGCCCTCGTGGCTCCGCGCGCAGTCCTCGTCGCTCTGCCGGTGTCTCTCGCTGTGGGTCTCGGGGCTCCGCGGGCGGCCCTCGGAGCTGAGCCGATGGCACTCGGAGCTCTGCTGCCGGGTCGTGCAGGTCGGCGCGTCGCCCGGGCAGTTCTGCAGCACGCTCTCGCGGGCCTTCCTGTGGGCCGCGCGGCTCTGCCTGTGGCCCCGGCAGCTCCGCAGGGGGCCCTCGAGGCCCTCGCAGTTCAGCTGGCGGTCCTCGGGGCCCCGCCGGTGGTGCTCGAGGCCCTGCCTGTGGCCGTGGTAGCTCAGCGCCCGGTCCCAGTGGCTCAGCACGTGGTCCTCGCAGCTCTGCTGGTGGCTGTCCTTGCTCAGCAGGTGGTCCTGGCAGTTCAGATCGTCGACCTGCTAGCTCTGCGGGAGACTTTTCGCAGTCTTGCTTGTCGCCCGCGTGGTTCAGGTAGTGGCCCTCGTAGCTCTATCTGCGGTCCTCGTAGTTCTGCTAGTGGGTCTCGGAGTTCTGAGTCTGGTCCTTGCAGTTCAGCTCGTTGCCCCAGTCGCTCCGCAGGAGGCTCTGGTAGGTCTTCCTGTAGTCCGCGTAGCTCTGGCTGTGGCCCTGGAATCTCAGCAGGGGGCCCTCGTAGCTCTCGTGGCTGTGCCTGTGGTCCTCGTAACACATCTGGTGCCTCCAGTAGCTCAGCTGGTGGTCCTCGTGACTCAGCTGGTGGCCCTCGTAGCGCAGCAGGCGGTCCTCGTGGTTCAGCTGGTAGTTGTTGTAATGTTGTTTGTGGCTTTCATGGCTCAGCTTTCTGTCCTCGTTGCTCACCTTGTGGCTCTCATGGCTCGGCAGGTGGCTCTCGCAGCGCGGCGGGTGGGTCCTGGAGTACTTCTGGGTGTGGCTCTTGTAGCTCTTGTAACTCTGGTTGTGGCTCTCGTAGCTCAGCTTGTGGTCCTCGTAGCACAGCATGTAGCTCTCGTGGCTTCAGCTGGTGGCTCTCGTAGCTCAGCTAGTTGCTCTCGTGGCTCTGCTGGCGGGTCTCGTAGCTCGGCATGTGGGACTTGAAGTTCTTCTCAGGTGGCTATCTCAGATGTGCGCGTGGTCCTTGTAGCCCAGCTTGTGGTCCCCAGAGGTCGTCTGGTGGCCCTGGAAACTCTGCTGTTGGCTGTAGCAGTTCAGATGGCGCGCTCTCTTCGTAGTCTCTTGGGTCCGAGTCAGATTCGTTGGCTGCCAAGTCGTAACGTTCTACGTTCTGGGTGTCCCTGTAGTCCTGGCGGTTGTCGTAGCCCTGCGGTATATCGTAGTCCTGGGGGTCGCAGGAGTACAGGTCGTTATCGAACACGCTGAGTCGTATGCGGCATGGCTAAAGTCGTACTCGTCGTACCTCCACGACGTACTGAGTAACATTTTCGGGCTGCTCTGTCGTGTCTTTCCTGGTGCCGATCTTGGTGGCGTGCTTGGTGTCGTACTCAGGCTGCCTGTTACGCAGCTCTTCCTCGGGCTGCATGTTACGCAGCTCTTCCCCATGCTGCATGTTACACGCAGCGTTTCCCGTCCTGTACAGGACGCCATAATCAAGGCGGTCGTAGCAATGGTCATGATGTCGTTAAGGTTTGGTTGTAGCCCGTGTCGGGTGAGCTAGCCCGTTCTCTTGAGAGCTGCATACGTTCGCACTTCTGTATGCGAGTACAGTCTCGGCATGCTGCCCGCAGTCTCCTCCAGGGCGGGTAGTCCTTGTAGCCGATGTTGTGGATGTCCAGCCTGCAGTGGGTCAGGTCAGCTGGTGGATGATCTCCCACTCGTGCGCGCGCCGCCTATGGGGCGGCGCGCACGGGCCGGCCCCCCTTGCGCGGGTGGTCGGGTGCGTCCCCCCCCGCGGAAGCCAGAATGGACCTTCTGGCCCTCCTCCTCCTTCTTTTTCTCCTCTTCCTTCTCTCCTCCTCTTCCTCCTCTTCCTTCTCCTCTTCCTGCTCCTCCTCCTCCTCCTCTTCCTCCTTCTCCTCCTCCTCCTCCTACCCTTTCGCCCCTTCCCTCCACGAATGCACTAGGGTGCTTAGAGGTTCGGGGAAGGGGCAGGGGATGAGGGGAACATGACCCCCCCTTCGGATGGACCGATGCCGTGGCTGGACCCAACCCCTGGCGCCCCTGTTCGGCCCTCCCCCGACCGTGGGCCGCATGATCGGCATCGACGGGAAGAAGTTCATCGCCCATTGGTGCACGTACATCAGCGGCGGCATCGTTGCGGTCAGGGGGGCGGGCGGATGAGGAGGAGATGGAGGAGGGGGAAGGGGCGCGGGGGAGAAGGAGGAGGGAGGAAGGAGGAGGACGAGAAGGAGGAGGGAGGAGGAGGAGGAGGAGGAGGAGGAGGAGGAGGAGGCCCGTCGTCGCCGTCTGGTGGTGTTCGTCGTCGTCTCTGGCTCCTTCTTGACATCGACGTCGCCGTCGTGTCTGGCTCGCGCTGGGCCCCCGCGGGCGGACTCGGCCTGCCCCTCCTCCTCGTCCTCCTCCTCCTCTTCTCTTCCCCCTCCTCCTCCTCCTCCTCTTCTTCTCTTCCCCCTCCTCTTCCTCCTCCTCCTCCTCCTCCTCCTTCCCCTCCCCTCCTCCTCCCCCTCCCCTTCCTCCTCCTCCTCCTCCTCCTCCTCCTCCTCCTCCTCCTCCTCCTCCTCCTCCTCTCCTTCCTCCTCCTCCTCCTCTCCTCCTCCTCCCTCCTCCCTCCTTCCTCCTCTCCTCCTCCTCCTCTCCTTCTCTCTCCTCCTCCTCCTCTCCTCCTCCTCCTCCTCCTCCTCCTCTCCTCCTCCTCCTCCTCCTCCTCCTCCTCCTCCTCCTCCTCCTCCTCCCTCCTCCTCCTTCTCCTCCTCTCCTCCTCCTCCTCTTCCTCCTCCTCCTTCCCTCCTCCTCCTCCTCCTCCTTTCTCTCCTCCTCCTCTCCTCCTTCTCCTCCTCCTTCTCTCCTCTTCGTCCTCCCTCCTCCTCCTCCTCCACCTCCTCCTCCTCCTCCTTCTCCCCCTCCTCCTCCTCCTCCTCCTCTCCCTTCTCCTCCTCCTCCTCCTCCTCCGTAGCCATTTTGGCTCAAGCCAGCCTCAAGCCCCCTGGTCGCCATTTCCCCCGCGCATGGCAAGTCCGGAGTGTGGCGCTGCAGGGTCTTGACGAGGCTTGGGATGGCGCGGGAGGGTCGCCCTCTGTTGATCCTGGTGTTTGTCTACGTCATTCGAGGGCGCAGCGCTCGGCTGCGCAGCGACGGGCCCGCGCCGCTGCTGCGGATCGTGGCGTCGCCGTGGCCCGTTCCGAAGTGGAG